AGACACGCGACAGTCATACTGACAGTGCGGCATGAAGATGTCGATGGAGCCGAGGCGCTCCTTCACCTGCACCATGCGGCTTGCCGCGCATGTTGGTCTGAGGGTCAACATCCTGCACTATACGCTTGGATTGTGCCATGTTGTGCACTACCTGTTTCTCCTTGTGCTCCGAGTACGCGTCTCCACGAAGCATGCCTTCCACACCACGCACAAAGCTCTTGTAGTCCATATCAGCTACACCAGGCACGAACTTAGCGCCTACAGCCTTCATCTGCTCGTCTGAAAGCACAACGGCGGCGTCCACACCCTCCTGCGACGGGCGGCAGCGTGCATCCTGTAGACACGACGAGATGCGGCCGAGACGCAGCTCCACCTCCACATTGGCGCCGAATCCCTTTTCATCGATTGCAGCGCGCATATCCTGCAGAAACTGGGCAATGGCGGCGTCGGGTGCGGCTGAGTTTTCGTCCACAGAGATAGTCTGCCCGCGGCCAGCCGTGAGCTTCGCCACCTGCGCCTCTGCCTTTTTAGCCGTGAGAGCTGACTCATTGGTACGCGATAGGGAGCTCAGCATACTGTTGAGCACACCGCCCGTCGAGATCTTGGAGTGCGCGCGCTTGGACATGGCAGCGTAAGAGTAGGAGTGACTGCTCTACTTTTGGGGACAAGAGTTATTGTGCCTTTCACCGTTTTTGGCCCGTTTACGCGCCCTTAAACCCTTGATAAACTTCCGGATATAATGATCCTAATTCTAACTTAACGATTGTTTGTATGCTAAAAGCTGATTTATTTGCAAATCCTATATAGTCGACCCCGCAAAAATGGGGTGCAGTACTGTATTGTCAATTCCGTCCAAAATTACCGATGCGGGAATCCACAACATATCGGCATGAGTGGTTCAAATTGCGAGATTAGATCATTCTATTTGCTATGCGACCAATAAATTGCATTCTCCACAGAAGTGCTGTTTGTCACGGTGTACAGTTAGACGGTGGATTAACGATGCTGGCTGACTGCCTGCAGAAGGTCTACTCACTCCAGACTCTCCGGACCACGTCCAAGCAAGCGGGACCTGCGGCCAAGACAGTGAAGTTCCAAGTGTGAAGTCGTGGAGCAGCTGGTCGTGGCGGGAATTGGAGCTGGACCGCCACGCACGAGGGATCTGACAAAAGGTAAGAAGCTCTAAAAACTCTTAGCGAGGTGAAACGAGGAAGTCAGTCGTGGATTTCCTTCTAACAAGAAACACAAGAATATATCAACTTTTACATTACTATCACAGTAGTGTCGCTAATACTACTACCTCCTACGTCGGCCCAAGATACTCACGACCCCGATTAGAGGAAGACCGCGACAATTTGGTGGAGAAGCAGGGTATCTTCTAGCCGAATTTCGTAGGAGTACAAGCGTAAGAAGAAGCCTTGGCAACGGAGTGCCAAGGAAGAAGGAGAGAGAAGTGGGAAAAGGATGAGTGCTTCAAGGGATGGGTCCAGCGAGGGACTTGCAGCCGGTGAAGGGGTAGGGGGATGGGCTC